CCTTTTGACAGTTAAATTTGAATAAAATCCGGTACACTGAGCTCTTTAAATTCATGTCAACATTATAATGATTTGAATTCTACAGGTACATACTAAAGATCCTGTTGCTATATACCTCTTGATTTGGGACAAGCTTTTGCTTAGTTGCATAAGAGACGCCTTGTACCAACACACTGTTTTCAATGGATAAGACAGGCACAAAGGAACCGGTCCATTCCAGAGATGATGGTCGTCATGCAAAAGCTTGCCCTGAATCACGAGGTATAACAACAGTGTCTTTAGTCTGGGGAGTTCAAATTGTTATGTTCATGTACAATCAGATAGCTCAGTGTACCAGATTTTATTCGCAGTTAACATATAAAAGGCTGATACACGCAACTTTTTAATAGTACAATGGCAACTGAACACTTTGAGGAAGAGCTGAAGCCAGCCAATCCTGGCATTTAGTGTAAACTATGGTTGCCCAAAGAAAGAGCATCTAGGCCACATGCCCAGAGGATGGTCTACACCCAACATCAAGAGTCTCACATTGTACAGTTGGCTGTCACTATTAGAGAGGTACATGTACATTCATATTTGAATTGGAATCTTTTCATTGGTTACTGTCTCTGTAGCCTTGCCACTAAATTGCAAACAGGACAACAATTAACAATTTACAAACAACACTAGTTACAAAAGAACAAAAGAGGGAACGTAGACAATGATAAATGGGTTATATAAAGAGCAAGATGTGCTATTCTTGTCATCATTCTAATTTTGGCATCTGAGAAATGGAGATTTAAAAAGCTGGTTTAATGCATGCATTTTAAGCATGCAGGGAGACTGACCAAAAAACACTCCCGGAGCTTTGGAAATGAAACCCACCTGCGTGCGTTTGTCCTCGTCGCGTCCAAAGCAGCACCCCATGGTTCGCTCTCTATCACCGTCTCATTGAACAGGATGGAGACTTGGATCAGTGGATGCTTGGATTTCTTGCTGCAGATCACATGCACTACAGGAAGACGCTGACCTGCATGAGAAAAGGTGGCAGGAGAACAACTTTAAGTGGGAGACCAACACGTTTTTGAAGTTCAGAGGTTTGAACCCTGCATGAATCTTAATGGGTTTTGCCAGGCATTCGAAGTTTCAACCCTTTGTTGCAACCTCATGACATCCTTTTTTCAACTTATCCATCCCTCCCTCCCGTGTAACGTTGAAGAGGCTGTACTTTGTGGATTTTGAACAGTCCGCAAGAGTTAGTTTTAAGTCAATTTTCCCTCATGTCAGCGGAAGAAACCTCTTTTGTGACACATTCACTTTCAGTTTTCCACTGGGATAGCTGTTTCAAATGTATTTTCTTTTGGCGAGTTCTCTTTCCTTTCCAATTTCACTGACGTCACGCACTAAATAGTGAAACCAAGATAAAAGGGGTGAAAAGAAAGGATTTAGTTTCAAACAAATTCAAAGGATATTACTACATATATGTAACCTTTACCCATAAACAAGAAAAGATTTCCTATGAGTGAATTTAAAGGACATGCACAAGCATATGTGCACATTTACATGTACATATGTACACGTCCATGCACCAATTATTGCCACTGTTGCCATACCTCGTGATTTGGGGCAGGCTTTTTCTTAGTTACACAAGAGATGCCTTGCAACAATACACTGTTCTCAATGGAAAAGAACGGCACAAAGGAACCAGTCCATTCCAGAGATGGTGGTCGCTAAGCAAAAGCTTGCCCTGAATCACGAGGTATAGCAACAATGTCTTTAGTCTGGGGAATTGAAATTGTTATGTTTATATGCAATCAGATGACTCAGTGTGCCAGAGTTTATTCAAATTTAACTCGCAAATGGCTTATTACAGCGCAGAAGACACGACACAACTGTGGGAAAGATCACTGTTATCCGTCATTGCTTGTGGCCCGGCAACATCGCAGTGCGCTCAACATGTGAATGATACATGCACACTTGTAGCAAATCATGTGATCAATTCGTGACCGATACAAATCCACTGACAAAAATACATGTACATGTTGCCCTGGCGGTGCGACAGACCTTGCGAACATACATGTGTGCCCAGGATTTGATATGCCCACTGGATCTGTGGACTGACATCAGCGATTTTAACATAGAGCCTTGAAGCATTGGTACCAGCCTGCCAGTTTGGTGTTTTTCTAACATTTTTGTTTACAAATTATTTTGAACTTGTTGAAAACCTTCTTTTCCTTTGAGATGAAGGTACACATTTAGCCATGTGTATTATACATGCAACTTACATGTTTTACCTGTGGGTCTTGTAACATGTATTCTGGTCAAGTGAATTTTATGAGAGACACTTGGCCTGTGGTTCTGGTTATGTTTATTGCAAAATTCACCCCCTGGCATACACATTTACATGTACATTGTATACAGCATCAAGCAGTGAACTGCCTTCATTGCTGATTAAACATGACCAACTTCCTTCGAGTCAGGACTTCCTGAAATTGCTGCAATTTTCTTCCCAGGGTCAGGTGGCTCTATACAAGCATGTATTCGAGTACATGCACACGTACATGAATGTAGGGCCAACACAGTGCTGTGCGGAAGTTTTCTTTCGTTAGGACAAACTGGAGCGGATTGTGAGGACGATGGTGTGTCCTACAATGTTTGGGTCCCCACAGCAGCACGCGCTTCCGTATTTTTGACTGTGCCACTAGAGGTCCTCAGGCTGTAAACATGGCAACTAGTCTAAAGGGGAAGAATTCCATATACGAAGTTCACTGTAATATCGCGTAATTACTACAAAAGTATCCTTACTTTGATCGCTGAATAAAGACGATTCC